GGAATAGTGGGGATCCCCTGGCGTGTCCAGAGCATCCCCAAGGTACCTGGAGCATCCCCAGGCCACCTAGAACACCTGCCAGGGTCCAGGAGCATCCCCAGATGTGCGGGGCTGTGTGCGGTGCAGTTGGCTGCGCCCGCAGGGTTCCCCTCTCTCTCTCCCTCCCTGCAGTCCCTGATGGACGCGCAGAACTTGCGCATCGAGGAGCTCTTGCAGAAGATGAAGCAGCAGCAGTACAAGCTGGACAAGCAGAATCTGCAGATCAAAAGCTTGCAGAGCAAGGTGAGATGCTGCCTGGCTCTGCAGCTTGGTGGCCGGGGGCTTGGCAGACAGCAGTTCTGTCCTGTACCCTGTGCAGGGCTTCAGGGATCTGGTTTCTGGTAGCCCAGCTGGCCCATGGGCTCTGGGAGAAGTAGCTGTTGTGCTGTTGGCCCCAGGGGCTCTACAAGATGCTTGGCCTTGGGGTCTGGTGCAGAGCCCTTGCTGAGGGGTTGATGCAAGAGCAGCAAAAGGCCAAAGCTTGGAGCTGCGTGGGGCTTTGGGCAGTGAAATGTGAGGAATTACCGTGGGTGCAATGTGAGCCTCTCAGGGCTGTTGCCTTATGGTTTATCTGCAGAATAAACCCAAATGTAAACACAAACATTTTCATGGGTGTGAAAAATCATGGTGGTTCCTGGATTTGCCAGCCTCAGATACCCAATTTCACAAGCTTTCAGGGCAATTTCAGCCTTAGATTTGCCCTGATCCCTGTAGCATCACCCTGTTCCTGGGGGAGCGGCTGATGCTTTGGTTTTTTAGCTCAGCAGCTGAGCTAAACCTGTTCTGACTTGTTGTCCTTCTGACTGCAGGTCAATCTGCTGATCCCTCTGCACCTGAAAGACAACAAAACTCAGTCTCCAAAGTGGAAAATCAACTTGAAGAAAAGCCTCAGCCACAGCAACCAAAGCCAGAATGCCAGCACGGAGACTGCACTGCCCCAGAGTGAGTATCTGCGTGTGCTGCTTTTCCTTACTGTGTCAAACCAGCAGCGATTCCAGCAGCTGCGAAACAAAAGATTTAGTTATCCTGATCCAGGAGGTGAGGTTTGCTTGCAGGAATAGGGCTTGGGAGCCCGGCCAGAAGTGGGGAGAGCTGGAGCATGGGCAGGATCAAGCTTCTGGATCCGTATTAGCCCAGTGGGAGTTTGAGTATTTAAGAGGGATTATTTTTTTTCCGCTTGACACTAAGAATGCAGGCAAGAAATTCTGCTCAAAGGTGTTTGTCAAAGAGGACCTGGGCCTGGCAGGTGTGCAGGGGCTGAATGGTGAAAGGAGAGGAGAATTGCTGCTCTCTGGATGGGTCTTGTTCACTGCTCTCGCTTTTGTGAGGCACAAATTGCTCCTCCGTCTGTGTCCTGGAGGAGGGGAAGGGTGTGCAGAGAGCTGCATCCTCCGGCATCCATCTCCCTTGGTGCATGTCTGGGTCCTGTGCCTGTGGATACAAGTATTCCTGCTCTTCCTTTTCCTTGGAAAAGGATGCTTAGCTGC